TGTTCATCGAAAGTTGAACGTTAAGTGGGGGAACCAGTATGTTTTAATAATTTAAGTGTATCTTCCAGTAGGACTTGGCTTTCAAAGACCATTGAGAGAGGGGAAGCCCAAAGGGCTGCTGCTGTCTTCTGAGGACAGCAGCTTCTTGAGCTTTCCTGACTGGCTGATTCCCTCTCATCGGCCTGTTCTTACATTCTGGTCTCCTAGTCGTGCGGCACTGTTGCTTCTTATTTGGTTGTATTCAGATACTTTACAGCATCATCTCACATCTTGGAAGTTTTACAATGAGCCGATTAGTGTTTTAAAAGATGCATTTTTGGGCCAGGCTCAGTGACTCACACCTGTGATCCCAGCACTTTGGGAGGCTGAGGCAGGTAAATCACCTGAGGTCAGCAGTTCAAGACCAGCCTGGTCAACATGGTGAAACCCCATCTCTACTAAAAATACAAAAATTCGTCGGGTGTGGTGGCACACGCCTGTAATCCCAGCTACTTAGGAGGCCAAGGTAGGAGAATCACTTGAACCCAGGAGGTGGAAGTTGCAGTGAGTTGAGATCATGCCATTGCCACTCCAGCCCAGGCAACAGAGCAAGATTCTGTCTCAAAAAAAAAAAAAAAAATGTGCTTCTTCTCCAATAAAACACCAAATGGCAGATGACACCAGTGCAGTGGGCGGTGGTGGGGCCTGGGATAGGGAACCACAGTAACTTTCGTGGAGGTTTCGGCAGTGGTATCCGGGGCTGGGGTCGCGGCCGTGGACGGGGCCGGGCCGAGGCCATGGAGCTCGCAGAGGCAAAGCCGAGGATAAGGAGTGGATACCTGTCACCAAGTTGGGCCGCCTGGTCAAAGACATGAAGATTAAATCTCTGGAGGAGATCTATTTCTTCTCTCTGCCCATCAAGGAATCTGAGATCAATGACTTTTTCCTGGGGGCCTCTCTCAAGGATGAGGTTTTGAAGATTTTGCCAGTGCAGAAGCAGACCCGTGCTGGCCAGCGCACCAGGTTCAAGGTGTTTGTTGCTATTGGGGACTACAATGGTCACGTCGGTCTGGGTGTTAAGTGTTCCAAGGAGGTGGCCACTGCCATCCGTGGGGCCATCATCCTGGCCAAGCTCTCCATTGTCCCCATGCGCAAAGGCTACCGGGAGAACAAGATCGGCAAGCCCCACACCATCCCTTGCAAGGTGACAGGCCGCTGTGGCTCTGTGCTGGTGTGCCTCATCCCTGCGCCCAGGGGCACTGGCATCGTCTCAGCACCTGTGCCCAAGAAGCTGCTCATGATGGCTGGTATCGATAACTACACCTCAGCTAGGGGCTGCACTGCCACCTTGGGCAGCTTCACCAAGGCCACCTTTAATGCCATCTCTAATACTTACAGCCACTTGACCCCCGATCTCTGGAAGAAGACTGTATTCACGGAGTCTCCCTATCAGGAATTCACTGACCACCTCGTCAAGACCCACACCAGAGCCCCCGTGCAGAGGACCCAAGCTCCAGCTGTGGCTACACATAGGGTTTTTATAGAAGAAAAATAAAGTGAATTAACATTGCATAAAAAAAATGCATTTTTGGGGAGGGACAGCAGGGGCGGGGAGCTGGGGAGGGATAGCATGGGGAGAAATGCCAGATGTGGGTGAAGGGGAGGAAGATAGCAAATCACACTGCCACGTGTGTACCTATGCAACTATCTTGCATGTTCTGCACATGTACCCCAAAACCTAAAATGCAATAAAAAAAAATAATTCTTGTTTTTTAAAAAAAATGCATTTTTTGAACTTAATTATAAAATACATACAAATCATAAGGCAAAAAAACAATGAATTATCAAGAATAAACACAGATATTTAGACCTTCACATAGGTGAAGAAACAGAGCACTGCCAGCACCCTAAAAGTCCCGTGTGTACCAGACCCACTCATCACCCACTTCTCTCCTACCCAAGTGTAACCACCATCCTGCGTTTCAACATCCATAGATTAATTCTGCCTGTTTTTAAACTTTATGTAAATATAGAATCAACTCAGAGTGTGCTGTTTTGTGACTGGCTCAACATTATGGCCATGCAATTCATCTATGTTGTTGTGGGAAGCAGTGGTTGGTGCATTTGTATTGATGTACAGATTTGCATTGTTTGAGTATATCATAATTGATATGTAGCTTCCGCAGTGAAGGGGCATTTGGATTGCTTCCAGTTTTTTACTATTTATTACCAACATTCTTATGCGTGTCTTCTGGTGCCCATATGCACATATGACTGTGAAGTATATATTTAGGAGTGGGATTGCTGTGTCATGGAGCATCCATATGTTCCATTTTAGTAGAAATGCCCAGTTTTCCGTCGTGGTTGTTCCAGTTCACACTCCCACTAACGGGGCTGTAATCCTAGTTAATACTTGAGATTGCCAGTCTGTTTAATTTCAGCCATTCTGGTGCTATGTAATGGTATCTCACTATGCCTGTAATTAGCATTTCTCTCTTACCAGTGAGGTTGAGCATCTTTCCACATGTTTAATGACTAATTTGACATCTTTTTGGTGATGTGCCAGTTCAAGTATCTTGCCAATTTCTCTATGGTTTGTCTATCTACTTAGTACGGATTTGTGGGAGTTCTTTCTAAATTCTGGATACAAGCCCTTTGGAGGTTATATGTGTAGCAGATATCTTCTGTAACTCTCTGCCTTGCATTTTAACTCTCTTGTGGTAGTTTAAATGAACAGAAGATCTTAATTTTAATGTAATCCAATTATCTGTCCTTGTGCCAATACCACAGCCTTAAAAGGTAATTCAGTTTTATAGTAAGTCTTGAAATGTTTTGTGTATGTCTTCCAGCTTTTTCTTTTTTCAATATTGCCTTGTCTATTCTTGGTCCATGGCACTTTCATAAACTGTAGTACTCAGTTAATGTCTGAGATTTTTATTAGAATTGTATTAGATCTATATAGATCAATTTGGACAGAATTGCCAACTTAACAATTCTGAGCCTTCTACCACATGATCATGGTCTATTCCTCCATTCATTTAGGTCTTTTTTTTTTTTGGAAGCGGAATCTTGCTCTGTCACCAGACTGGAGTGCCGTGGCATGATCTCTGTTCACTGCAAACTCCACCTCTCAGGTTCAAGCGATTCTCCTGCTTCAGCCTCCCAAGTAGCTGGGACTACAGGTGCGCTCTACCAGGCCCAGCTAATTTTTGTATTTTTAGTAAAGACAGGGTTTCACCATGTTGGCCAGGATGGTCTCAATCTCTTGATCTCATGATCCACCCACCTCGGCCTCCCAAAGTGCTGTGATTACAGGCGTGAGCCACTGCGCCCGGCCTCATTTAGGTCTTCTTTAATTTTGCTCAGCAGTGGAGAGGATGTGGAGAAATAGGAACACTTTTACACTGCTGGTGGGAGTGTAAATTAGTTCAACCATTGTGGAAGACAGTGTGGCGATTCCTCAAGGAGCTAGAAATAGAAATTCCATTTGACCCAGCAATCCCATTACTGGGTATATATCCAAAAGATTATAAATCGTTCTACTATAAGGACATATGCACACGAATGTTATTGCAACACTGTTTACAATAGCAAAGATCTGGAACCAACCCAAATGCCCATCGATGATAGACTGGACAGGCAAAATGTGGCACATATACACCATGGAATATTATGCAGCCATCAAAAAGAATGAGTTCGTGTCCTTTGTAGGGACATGGATGAATCTAGAGACCATCATTCTCAGCAGACTGACACAAGAACAGAAAATGAAATACCACATGTTCTCACTCATAGTTGGATGTTGAACAATGAGGACACATGGACACAGGGAGGGGAGCACTACACACTGGGGTCTGTTGGGGGGAATAGGGGAGGGACAGCAGGGGGTGAGGAGTTGGGGAGAGACAGCATGGGGAGAAATGCCAGATATAGGTGAAGGGGAGGAAGGCAGCAAATCACACTGCCACGTGTGTACCTATGCAACTATCTTGCATGTTCTTCACATGTACCCCAAAACCTAAAATGCAATAAAAAAATAAATAAATAAAATAAAATACAAAACACACACACAAATTTTGCTCAGCAGTGTCTTGCAACATTCCATGTAGAAGTCTTGCACATCTTTTGTTAGATTTATTCCTATGTGTTTGTTTTTTAATATTATTGTAAATGGCATCCTTTTAAATTTTAATTTTCTGTTTATTGACAGTATTTAGAAATACAGTTGTTTACATTTACTGTAGACCTAGTGTCCCTAACAAGCTTACGTGTTTTCATTATTGTTGTTTTTGTAACCCAGGTTAGAGTGCAGTGGTGCGATCTTGGCTCACTGCAACCTCCACCTTCTGGGTTCGAGCAATTCTCATGCCTTACCCTCCTGAGTAGCTGGGATTACAGGCATATGACACCATGCCTGGCTATTTTTTTGTATTTTATTAGAGATGGGGTTTTGCCATGTTGGCCAGGCTGGTCTTGAACTCTTGGCTTCAAGTGATCCACCTGCCTGGGCCTTCCAAAGTGCTGGGATTACAGGTGTGAGCTACCATGCCCGGCCTGAGCTGAGATGTTAATTGTAGTTAATTGTAATGTCATGTATAGATTCCTTGGGTTTATCTATGATACATATCATCCATGAATAATAACAGTATTATTTATTCTGTCCCAGCCCTTATGCTTTTTTTTTTTTTTTTTTGAGACGGAGTTTCGCTCATTACCCTGGCTGGAGTGCAATGGCGCCATCTCGGCTCACCACAACTTTCGCCTCCTGGGTTCAGGCAATTCTCCTGCCTCAGCCTCCTGAGTAGCTGGGATTACAGGCATGCACCACCATGCCCAGCTAATTTTTTGTATTTTAGTAGAGACGGGGTTTCACCGTGTTGACCAGGATGGTCTCGATCTCTTGACCTCGTGATCCACCCGCCTCGGCCTCCCAGCCCTTATGCTTTTTATTTCCTTTTCTTGTGTTCCATACCAGCTCTGTGCCTTTGGATCTAATGAGGATTTTCCCTCTATTCTTCCAGATGAGGCTGAGGCACACATTGACTATGAAGATAACTTTCCTGATGACAGATCTGTGTCATTCAGAGAGCTCATGGAGGATTCCCGGACAGAGGCAGAAGAGGATAGGGGTCAGGAGGAATCCTCTGAGGAGGCTCCAAAACAGGACCATCTGGTCTCCATTTCGGTGGGGAGAGAAAACATCGCCCGAGATAAAGGCTTTGTGCCAACCACAGGCTTGCCTGATGCTGGGAGCAGTGTCCCCGCAGACTCGCCAGGATCGCGGCTGCACCAGAAGCACTTGTTCTGGTTTCCTGCTGAGGCTTTCCACAAGCCTGGGTTGGAAAAGGAGGTAGATGATGACACCAAAAAGCAGTTTTCTGCTGGAGATAACCACAGTGGTATAAAATTGGTCCCAGGGGAACCTGAAACCAAGGTGATCTATAGCAACACTGATGGTCCCTCAGGGCCATTTGTGGGCAAGAATGACAGCAGCGCAGGGGATCCAGTGGTGAACAGCAGCGATGAGTCCTGGTTAGATGGCTACCCTGTGACAGATGGGGCTTGGAGGAAGACAGAGGCAGAAGAGGAAGAAGATGGGGACAGAGGGGTCGGGTCGGTAGGACTGGGTGAAAACATTCCCATTACTCCTGATCAGCCCACTCCCGTGGAAGTTAAACAGCCCTGGATTGGCACCCTCGCACCAAGCGAGGACACGACCCACAGTTCAGTTCTTCCATCTCAAATGCTAGACATGGAAGCTTTGGCGCTCAGACCCATGAATGTGTCCGAGACTGAGAGCAATGGGGACGGTGACTTGACCAAGTACCAGTCAACTCTACCCTGGAGATTCACCACAGAGGAGTCTCCCTTGGCCACGCTGCCCTCTGAGCTCACCAGGTCTACCCTGGAGATATTAGCAGCCACCACCGTCAAGCAGACGCCTACCCACATCCCCTCAACGGGCATGGACACTCAGCCTCCAGTAGAAACCACTGCTCCTGAGGTCCGGGATAGCTTCCCATACCTGCTGTCTGAAGACTTCTTGGGACAGGAAGGCCCTGGGCCAGGTGCAAGGGAGGAGCTTCATCCCACCTTGGAGTCGTGTGTCGGGGACAGCTGTCCTGGCCTCACCAGAGGCCCTGTGATTGCCACCGTTGTCACCATCCTGTGCCTGCTGCTACTCCTGGCAGGGGTGGGGGTGGTGTGGGGCTATCGCAGGCGCCAGCACAAGAGCTCTGTGTACAAGCTGAACGTTGGCCAGCGGCAGGCTCGGCACTACCACCAGCAGATCGAGATGGAGAAGGTCTAGGCACCTTTGGAATGGGCTCTCCCAAAGCTACTTGGGAGGAAAACTAACTGTGGCACATCACACTGATAATTCACTAGAGTATGACACAGGTGGACTGTGGCTCGTCATTTTTCCCTCAGCCCTTTGTTCTATGGGCTGAGAAGTGTCTCTGGAGTACCTGGCAGGGCAGGGGGGCTTTGATGGCATTGTCACTCATGTCAGTGTCTACTCCACCGTGTGCCCTGGAATTGACTATACTAATCTCAGGCCTGTGCTTGGGCCTGGTTTCCAGTGTGAGGTCAAAAATTGCCTCTTCCTTCAGCACAATATTATCTTTTTTTTGAGACAAAAGTCTCATACTGTCGCCCAGGCTGGAGTGCGGTGGCGTAATCTGGGCTCACTGCAACCTCTGCCTCCCAGGTCCAAGCAATTCTCCTGCTTCAGCCTCCTGAGTACCTGGGATGACAGATGTGTGCCACCATGCCTGGCTAATTTTTTTGTATTTTTAGGAGAGACAGTTTCACCATGTTGGCCAGGCTGATCTCAAACTCCTGACCTCAAGTTATCTGCCCTCCTTAGCCTCCCAAAGTGCTGGGATTCCAGGTGTGCACCACATCCCAATATTACCTTTCTGAAGAAAGAAAATCACTGGCTTCATGTCCTGAAAGTTTATAAATAGTGATAAAGCAAGTGTATGAGAGCAGTGTTATTGTGGACATGGATATTGAATTACTGAGAGGAATATGGAAGAAGAATGTTTCCTTTTAGTGTCGTGATGCTGCTGAGGGCAGATGAACCAAGAGCCAGGACACAGTCTAGAAGCTTTGAGGTTTCTTTTTCATTGTTTCTTGAAATTAGAGAGAATTTAAGACTGACGTTTTGTTGGGGGAGGTGAGGAGTGAAGAAACACACATCCCCCTCTATTCCCGCCATTCTGCGGGATGGCCTATCACTTATTTTATGTTAGTTTCCATCTTTCATGGTTAAGGATTTGCCATTATTTTTAAAAAACAAAGTTAGCCTTGTACCAGTAAGTACCATTTCCTCTCAGAAGCAGTGGTCTAGTTGTCCCTGATCAGTCTGTGCCTAGGAATGTCTTGGAATTTTTGCCAGGACTAACAAAACTCAGTCCTTGGTTTCCTCTCTCAGGATTAACCATTTCTCTGAACTCCAGTAAGAGGGAATGACACGGGAGGAAAAAAGACATGTTTTCAGAGGGCCAAATACCAGGATATCAAGGATGGGCACATACTTGATGGAGAAGCAGAAGAATCTATAAGAGAATATGAAGTGATCTGTGCTGATCTGTTCTCTAGTGTGGAAACTGGGAGCTCTGTGGAAACAGAATCCATACTGTCTATTGGACAACCCATTTCACAGCATCTAAATCATCTTATGGTGGCTAGCGAGCATTGTTTTTGGCAGTGGTTGTCAAAGTGTGGTCCTCAGGCCAGTAGCATAGCATCAGATGGGAATCTGTTGGAGATGCAAATTCTCTAGTCCCGCCCTAGACTCAGGAAACAGGTACCCTGGGAGCAGGGCCCAGTTCTCTGTGTGTTTAACAAGCCCTCCAGGTGATTTTGATGGGCACTCAAGTTTGAGAACCTATTGGTTTCTAAGAACCTCAGATGTGAACTTCGAGGCCAGCTGGAGCCCTAGTGGCACAGAAGATGAGTAGCACCTGTGGTTTGTCTTGTGCGGCAGCCAGGCGTGGATGTGTGCAGCTGAGGTGGCACTGGACACCGCCCAAAGGCCAATGCCACCTGCAGTAGTCTCCTGTATGCTGGCACAGAAACGAAACATGTTCTATTTTTCTAATATGAATCACCTTCTTGGAAATAGTTATCAGTGGTAAGAGGTGATGTTAGCAATACATTGATTTTGAGACGCCATAGGAGTCTGTTTTTGCGTGGTACAGAGACATCCTGATTTTTTTTTATGATTGAAAAATTGCCAGTGGTGTTTTACCTAAGGAAAAAAGAATTCACAGCATGTTTTCCACCCTGCCACCTCTTTTCAGCAAGCTTTGGGAAAATAATAGGCGAAGCAGCTGTCAAGAGAGGCAGCATAATCAAAGATCTTAGTCCCCACAGTTGGAAGGCCGATGCGTCAACGGAGTCGAGAACTATCGGAATAAGCTTCCTGCATGTAGCCAAAGCAGAACCTCATAGAATCAAAGCCAGAGACTGTATATATTTACAGCTTAGACCCTAAGCTACTGCAAGATAACTTCTCTATTTTTAACAATATAAAATAACCTGTCTCAGCGTTGGGATTGCGTCAGTAACTATTATTATGGAATAACCCAGAACATTGAATTTATACCAACGAATAGGCAATATTGATACCAGTGTATTAATAAATGTATTACAAATTATTAATACATGTGAATGTTTTATTTGTAGACCTGGAATGTGAAATAAACCCAACACATCAGTTTTTAAGTTCTTATTGGTGTGGTGTCATCTAAATTAATGTTATAGAATCTAAAAACGCATGTTGAAAGGGAATGATGAAAACACCGTAAATCGAAATCATATGTCATGCCTGTTTCGAGACTGGTGAATGTTTAATGCTCATGAAAATTGGGGGAGGGGGTTCTAGTAACACAAAGCTTCTGAGATATTTAAAATAAATAATTATTGCCCCAACAGTTGCGGAATGTATTTTATTTCTAGGCTACTGCACTATGCTTTTTTGAATTAAAAAACAAAAAAAGCTTGCTGGGCACAGTGGCTCACACTGGTAATCCCAGCACTTTGGGGGTCTGAGGCAGGCAGATCACTTGAGATCAGGAGTTAGAGACCAGCCTCACCAACATGGTAAAACTTTGTCTCTACTAAAAATACAAAAAGTAGCCGGGTGTGGTGGTGCACCCGTGTACTCCCAGCTACTCTGGAGGTTCAGGTAGAAAAATTCTTGAACCTAGGAGGCAGAGGTTGCAGTGAGCTGAGATCCCACCACTGCACTCCAACCTGGGGAACATAGCAAGGCTCCATCTCAAAAAAAAAGAATCCTCTAGTAATCTTGAAAATAATGTCTTAATACTTGCTATATCTAAGATGTAAGTCTGCCCTCTCTAACCCTCTCAGCTCTGTTACCTCCTGCAGCAGGATTTTAGGGGAGTCTGTGGTGCTCTCGCCCCTCCTCCCTCTCTGCTTCCCTCTTCCTTGCCCCAACCAGAGACCACTCGCTTCACCATGACGAAACACCCAGGACCTCGCTATTCAAAGCGTGGCTCCTGCCCCAGCAGCACAGACACGGCGAGCTTGTTGGAAATGCAGAATCTCAGGTCCCGTCCCAGAACTGCTGAATCAGGATCTGCATCTGACAGGACACCAGGTGGCGGGCATGAATGGTAAAGCTGGAGAAGCACTGGCCTGAGAGAACTGATTATCCCCTTTCTCCTAACTCATAGGGCATGCAAAGGAGTAACTGGAGGGTTAGCTGAAGGGACTGCCCACAAAGGTGTGGGGAGAGTGAGGGGAACCATCGGGATGGTGGGGTCCTGTTAGGGAACCCAGCAAGAGCTCAGCAGTAGGAAAGACCTGCGGGACCAGGGCTCTGCCTCCCGGAGGATGCAGCCGATATCCAACTGTGGCTTGGAGGAAGCAAAGATTTTAAGGACCCAGACCTTGTCTCACCCTGCCATCTCTTGCTGGCATGTCCCAGTGACAACTGGAAGTCAGAGGGTGAAGAAACCCAGGCAGTGGAACCAGAGGTCAGGTTCCTGGGACACCAGGCATGTTGGTAGGACACACTGGAAGAGATGTGGAGGGGCAACTAGCAAAATCCAGCTGAGACACCGTCAGCACCAGTCCCATCTGCCTTACGTCCATTTCCACCTCCACGACCACCGCAGATCCACGCCAAGCCTTCCGATGTTGTAGACATTGTTGATGCCCCTTCCGGATCCCCTTTGCTAGGCAGGTGGACCCATCTTCCAGCGGCCCTGAGTGTTGGCTGCCAAAATGCTCATAAGCACACAAGGGTACCTTTCCAACGCAGAGAACTGCCCTTGGCCTAATGTCCGTTCCCTCGTCCAGGATGTCTGACCACCTTCCACCCTGCTAGGGCAGCCTATAACCAATGACCAGCTGGCATGGGGATGCAAAAGACTGACCTCCTTGTCTCAAGGCAGGACCAGCGTTGATGTGATTCGTGCTCCAGCGCTCCCACGAGATCAGGCTGAAGCTGGTCTTCAACTGAAGACACATCTTTGCTATCTCCTTCCTGCTTCGCTCACACCCCTTCTCTTGAAAGCACCCCATCACTTCCCTTGTTTCAAAGGAGCCTGACCTAAGCCATCCTGCAACACTTAACTCTTACACCCTCCACCCTTTCTCCTAAGTCCAGAATTTTTCACTGTGTCCTCTGGAATTCTTGGGCTGACCTCCGTATGCTCTACTTCTTCCTCAGCTGTTTGAACTCTCCATGCGTGGGCCTGTTTTTGTGCTGGCTGGTTCACCACTCTTGCCACCTGCCTCCGTCTGCTCTGCTTTCTCCTGCCTGCCCATTAGTGGCATGCATGGAGCATCACTGCTGTTGACGGTCATCCCTGAAGATGCTTTGGGTCCTTGTTTGAAAGATTCCAAATGTTTTTCCTAGTGGGATCCCAGATCTCCTCGGAAAGACAATCCTCCTGGGGAGAGGCATGAGCCTTTACTGTCTGATGGGACCTCAGCCAGCTCTTGGCTCACGGCTAGCAAGGACCTCTCCTCCTGCATGAGACTTTGTTAGATGAATGTCAGAAATGTCACAGACCTGAGAAAACAGAGCTCATTACAACATAGGTTCTAGAATGTGGTTAAGACATCCCTGTCCAGTGGCTAGAATAGAAAATACAAAGTAAGCAAAGTAAAACATTTAATGTGATGTTAAAAAAAAAAAAAGCTTTTGGTTTTAGCTATTTTCCTTGTTCTAATTTTCAACAAGAATGAGATTGTACATACCATCCCAACCCAACAGGGGAGGCAGAAAAAGACATCAGCAATGGTATCTGGAGTTCACCCTACCGACTGCCACCCTAGAGTGGGAGATAAAACTCTGGAATCTATCTTGTGTCTGTTGGCCAAACTGCTTAATTCCTCCCTGTTTTCTTCTTATAAAATGAGGCACTAATATCTTACCTGCCAGCTGTAAGACAATATAGAGCCCACTCACTCATTCATTCCACAAGCAACGAAAGCCAGCTATTTGTATGGGGACAGTGTCAGGTGCCAGGATATGTGGCTGCTCACGTGCTGGCCCTAGATGGAAACCACTCTAAGGATAACCATGGCTGCTCTTGATTCTTATTTCTGGGGGTAGGAGCGGCTCAGTCAAGGCAAAGCCGGGCTGTTGTGGTGTCTTCTCTTTCAGGGAGATGACATGGGGACAGGCCTGGGGATCAGTCTTGCCCCTGGCTGCAGGCACAGGAAGTCCAATGCATAAAACCTTTGGCTGAGGCTTACTTAAGGTTCCTAGGCTTTTTTCCCTTTTCTCCCTTGTACATAGTTTAAACTCTCCACACTAGGTCATTCAGGCCTGGAGTCACCAGAAAAAAAGAAGTCACTGTTTGGGGGATGGCAGACGATCAAGAGTTCCGACAGCTGCGATGAAGGATTAGTTGTGGGTTTTTCTCAGGGCCTTGCTACAAACTGTGTTGCGGTTCCATGTTCCGACGCTATTGAATAATGTTTTCTCTGGCACCGGTCCACCTTCTCCCTACAGTTTAAGTATTGATTTTTTCTTTTTTTAACTGAAGTAGCTTCGGTTTACAGCTCACATTTAAAACTTAGAAACGTTATTTCCATGAATGTTGGCAGAAAGTGGTCACTGTTTATTCCACCAGCAGTCATAATAAACCCCTTCCCACTGACAATCTAACAAATCATTTTCTGTTTGCCACTGAGTTGGGTCCAATAAAATTTTTGTGCTCTTAAAATTCCCCTAATAAGAACTCCCGAAAGCACACATTTCCTTCCTAAGGCAGCCCTTGCGGTCGGGGCTCGCAGTGGCTCTTTCTGGATTCCAGAGGTGAGCACAACAGGTTAGTTGTAGTAATCAGAAAGTCTCGAAAATCAGGAAGTATCAGCATGTTGCATATGTCGGTATGTGCTCGTTTCGGCCAATAAGACACTTTTAAACACGTGTGTGCACACAAACCTCCCCTCAGCCCTTCACTTCTCCACAGTCAAGCACGAACAGAAGCACTGGCCACAAGAAGTCTCTTTAGACCCTTCCCAGCGGGTGCCTCCTGCTTGGATGCCCTGAGTGGCAATGGGCCTGGACAGAGGCCCCACCATGATGGCAGCGTCCCCACCAGCCTGCAGAACCAAACGGTGACCACTGAGCTCCAGGCTCGTGGGTCAAAGGACAAGCGAGGCATCTTAGGGCGGGCCTGGAAGCTCCCACAAAGCTACAAATGTGTTTGTTTTTTTCAAGACAGGCCAGACTCAGGCTGAACCAACAGGGTCTCAATGCAGGAATCTTGTAGGCTTTTCCAAGGAACACACTCCGGGAGGTGCTGGGTTGAGGGCATCGAGTGCAGCCTGCACGCCAGGCTTTCACGGTAGGTTTGGAAGAACCGGCCCACTTTTTTTTTAAGGTTAGTTTGGTTTCCTTTGAAATAAAAATTTTGGTAACTCAGCTCCACAGCCTTCAATCAAAGCAAAGCACTGCCAATACTGACTGTACTATCACCAGGGTCCTCGGGGGACATCGCGAGGGTGGGGGTGGAGGTGCTTTTCAGTCCCCAGTGAAAGGAGGCCAGTTCAGAGAGTGAACGAGGACCCCACCACCACGCCAACTCAACCCATATGCCGAGCAACGTCATGTACACAAAGCTCACCCCAGGCTCACAAGACGAGGACCCAACGGGACCTCTGCAGGACACAGAGGTGGAGTGAGTCACAACACCCAACCCAGGCTGGCTCCCTGCAGATGTCAGCTTTCATTTTCTCACGAAGCTGGGAAGGACCCCGCAGGCTGGGGCTCTAAGGGGAGTTCAGGCTGCTGGGCACGCTATTTACAGACTCAGGAGTCCCGGAGCAGGGCGTCCACTCCCTGGGTCCCCCATTACTTTCTAGTCCTATCTCATCACCTCTTCCCCACTGAGTTCAAAAGGAAGTTTCTCTGGTGGAGTAGAGGGTGGGGTGAGGAAGGAGGGCCAGGCATCCCATGGGCAAAGGCCATCTCCCCCAGCAGGAAGCCACATAAGGTCTGACGCATTGCTGGGACTGGGAGGCTGCTATGGACACGGTGCCTCCACCAGTAATAACACTGACCGCTCAGGCCAAATACCACCCTGCCCCCAAAGTACAGACTGCGGACGTGGGCAACTTCGGCCTGAGACAGAAGCGGTAGGGGACTGTCCTGGGTAGGGTACCCTCAAAGCAGAGCCTGACGCAGGGATTCTTGTGCAGGTGAATGAGGATGTGGTGTCAGGAGGGATGAGGGAAGCAGGACAGAGCTGAAAGAAGGATGTGCCCGAGTTCTCCAAAGTGAGTACAGTGTTCCGGGGGGTAAGGGAAGCCCAGAAAACGCAGGACGTATGAGTGTTCTCCCCCAGTTCACCACCACTACACAAAAACGCAAACACTCCATCCTTTTACTCCCTCCCAGGCGATTGTAGGAAAAGTCTTGTTTCCCAAATGCTGTGCTTTTCTCCTCTTGCCTTCACCCCTGGAGGGGTCCAACTATACAAGTGGCTTATTTGGAGAAGGGAATGAGGTTGACTAAAGAAAGCTCAGCTTCCAGAACACCAAACCCTCCTGGCTTTCTCTGACCTTAAGGTAACTCCTCCTCAGTCTCTTTGGCTTCCCATTTCCCAGACAGCCCAAGGGCTCCGTCCATAGCTCTTTTCTGTTGCTTCTCAGTAATACTGAGAGACAATCTCAGCCGCCCCTCCAGCTGCAAGGCTTTAACTGTCACTGACATGCTGAGGTGCTGTGCTGGATCCCTTCATAGAGCCAGTTCCCAGGACCCCTCACCCCCCAGTACACTACCACGCATGGCGGCTGCCAGACGCTTACAGCCTCTTTTCCAGAGACCTACCCTCGGGCGAAGCCACCTGCCTTCAAATGTACCCGCACTCCCACAGAACTTCTCACAGCCAATAAAGGGCTGATAGAGGCTTTCACAGGGCCCTTCTGAGAGTACCCCCCACAATGAAGCAAGTGCATTCAGATCCCCGTCATGGGCTCTGCTGCAGACCTGACCTGAGAAAACTCTCCACTTTGATGTGCAGCCTGAACCTCCCACCCCAACCACAGACAGCCTGCTCTGCACCACATTCCTTACTTACCCAGCCGCCCTTCCCTGTCAGTAAATGGTAATTCCATCTTTCCTGTTCTTCAGGCCAAAAACCTTAAAGTCACCAAGAACTCTTCTTTCTCTTCCACTCCACATTCAACCTCCCAGCAAATCCCATTGGCTTTGCTTTCAAAATAAATCTAGCTAAGTAACCACCACTGCTGCCGTGGCCCGGGCCCAAGTCTGGAATCTCACGGAAGCTTCCTAGCAGGTCTTCCCTCTTACTTCTGCCCTTGTCCACTCAGGTTTTTCACAATATGGCAGCTAGAATGACCCTTGCTAAATATAAATCAATCAAGGCACTCCTCTGTTTAAACTCCCCAGGGGCCCTTATATCACTCAGCAGAAGCCAGGTCAAGGCCCTCCACCATCTGACCTCCTCCCCAGCCCTCGCTCCTTCCACTCTCCTCTGCCCACGCCTCTGCTCAGCCTCCCTGCTCTTCCCTGACCATGCAGAGCAGGTTCTCACTTTGGGGCACTGCACATCCTGTTCCTCTGCCTGGAATGCCTTGCCCAGGACCACTGCTCTAGCATCTCTGCTCTAATGTCACATTCCCAGTGAGGCCTTCCCTGAACACTCCATTTAATACTGTAGCCTCATCGCCAGGACTCCATACCCTACCCCACCACCGCTTTATTTTTCTCCATAGCAATTATCACTATACGATACATTGTATACATTTATATATATATTTATTTATTTGTACATATTTATTCCTATGTATTGGTGATCTCTTTCTCCCTGTAGAATGTAAGCTCCATGAGCACAGCGAACTTTCCCCTGTTCTTCTGTGAAGTATCTCCAGTGCCCAGGTCAATGCCTAGCACATAGTAGGTACTCAGTAAATATTTACTGAAAGAATGAATGAAACTAGACGGCTCTGGCTTTCTTCCTTTCCAACTTAGAGACTTATAACTAAGCACTATCCTCACATCAGATCAGCCAACCTTTGTGATTTTGGAGACGTACTCTACACTATCCAACTTGCTTTTCAGTGGGTGCTAGAGTTGGTACAAGTCAGACCAAGTGGAGGCTATCATAAGGCTGGAGAAGTTTGGCCTTTGTCTTCCACTCTCTTTCCTGGATGGGGAGAAAGAAGACTAAAATCTGGAAGAGCAAAGAAGCCAAAGGAGGTTTTCAGTTATCATCTTTTAGGAATTTTTTCTTATTTAAAAAATAATACTGATTTTCTGGGGAAAAAAAAAAAGAAAAGTCAGAAAAGACTGTCCTTCAAACCAAAATGGTGAGAAAGGCAGGTATGAGCATGGGAAAGACAAGCGTGAACATGAGGAAGACAGGGGTGAAGGAGTAAAAACAGACGTGAGGATAAGACAGGTGTACAGGTGAGAAAGAGGCAGGCACTGTGGCTCACGCCTATAATCCCAGCACTGTGGGAGGCCAAGGCAGGTGGAGCACCTGGGTCAAGAGTTCGAAACCAGCCTGGCCAACATGGCAAAACCCCGTCTCTACTAAAAATACAAATAGCCAGGCATGATGGTGGGCGCCCGTAATCCCAGATACCTGGGAGGCTAGGCAGGAGAAGCGCTTGAACCTGGGAGGCAGAGGTTGCAGTGAGATGAGATCGCACCATTGCACTCCAGCCTGGGCAACACAGCAAGACTCCATCTCAAAAAAAAAATAAAAGGTGAGAAAGATGGGTGTGAACACGAGGTGTCAGGTGTGAAGACGGGAAAGGCAGGCTCACCCCGGTGACATGTAGTGAGAGAGATGGGGGCTTCCCTCTCACTTCGGAGAGTAAAGGGAAGGCTCTGAGGTATCAACAACCTCGGCTGTTGGGGAAAGGACAAAGAATCTGTGTTTCCTGAATGTCGCGAGAAAGTCTCTTCGGCTGCTGTGGGCTAGCTGGTCTCCTCCAGTTCCAAGAGATCGTCCACATATTCCACAACTTCTCCCTGTAAGAGACAGCACGACAACTCTGCTAAATGGGCTATTTGACTGTTAAAAGTGCCAATGAGGGGCTGGGCGCGGTGGCTCAAGCACTGTGGGAGGCCGAGGCAGGTGGATCACGAGGTCAACAGATCGAGACCATCCTGGCCAAATGGTGAAACCCCTTCTCTACTAAAAATACAAAAAACTAGCTGGGCATGGTGGCGCACGCCTGTAATCCCAGCTACTTGGGAGGCTGAGGCAGGAGAATTGCCTGAACCCAGGAGGCAGAGGTTGCGGTGAGCCGAGATCGCGCCATTGCACTCCAGCCTGGGTAACAAGAGCGAAACTCCGTTTCAAAAAAAAAAAAAAAGTGCTGATGAGCAGAAACTGTATCCCAAGAGGCCATTGCCACTGTCTGCTCTGGCTGAAACAGGTTTTCTCTGGGGCCCAGAGGACCTGATTTCTCCCTGTGGAGGGGACCTCAGCTTCCACTCCATTTGAACTTGGTATTAAATGCTCTGCAAGACCTGTCAACAGACGGCGTAAAGCAGACAGCCCAGCCCCGCTGTGGATGGTTCCACCTGCGCGCACCTCTGCCCGCTCCCCTTCCTGCCCTCTCACGAGCAGGTCTCCCACAGGAACACTTTCTATCTGTTCCCTTTCTGCCCTGACCACCAGACCACAAACTTCTCAAGGACCAGGCCCTGGGTTGATTTTTCTTCCCCAGAGCCCAGCACACAGAAGGCGCTCAATAAATGTGTTGAAGGATGAATGGCTGAGTGCTGCATGCATATTCCTAGTGTGACTGAAGCAATCACTCGTCTTACAGGAGAGGCACATGGGGACAGTGGGATTCACCCGCCCAGTGCTGGTACCAGGAGCCCACCTGCTCCCTCCTTCTGCAATCAGCCTTACGCCTCAGCTTGATGCAGCCCAGAACCCTTCCCAATTTCTTTCTCTGTGTTGACTTCTCTCCTACAACCCTCCTGGACCACCAGCTGATGACGCCCATTCTCTTTTCTGCAGAGAATGAATGAATGACCAAGGCTGAGGCCCCTACCACAAGTGTCAGCACAGACCGGCCCCACCACCCCTGCTAAAGCTTGACCTCCTTCACCGAGCTCACCATCCCAGGCCAAGAGCCTGTTTGCTCCTTTTGATGTTTGAACACAGAGAAATTTATAAAAATCTCACAGTATTTGAGAATTACTGGAAAACCTATCAAGTACACGAGACACAAATGGGGGGGGTGGTCGTATTATCATCAAACACTTCGACTATATCATGCCAGGAATTAGAAACTCAAATTGTGGGAGTAGAACACTACAGCTTGGAAAAAGTGTCCTTCAGTTGCTTTCTAGACCCCAGAAGGAAAACACAGCATAGCAGAGGGATTACGTGTATAGCCATGACTTCTGCTAGGGACTTCTATATCCTGCTGGGTGTCTGTTGTGACTTGTGGGATGATGGTATTGTTTGCTTTTAGCTCACAAAGAATACGTGCCCGAGGCAGCACAGATGAAAGAAATGCACCCCCTGCTTGGCTGTTGTCATGAACGCTGCCGGGGCCTCGTTCAGATCTCCATCCCAGTGTCCCCAACCCAACTTCTGCATGTTAAGGGCCAGCAGCTGCCCCTTCTCTGGGCAACTGCCTTTGGCTAAAAACAACAACAACAATAGCAGTCTTGCCAGGGAGGTTACACACCAGCCTTTGCTGGCAACAAAGAAGAACAAATGACAGACTGATAAGGAGAACTAGAAAAGGCAGGAACGGAGACCAGCCTGGCCAACATAGTGAAACCCGTCTCTACTAAAAACACAAAAAGGGGGAACGATTCAAGATGGCTGATCGCTAACATCTCGGGATTGCATCTCTCAGTGAAAGTGCAGAGAACGGGAGGACGTCACACTTTCAGACAAATTTTGGTCGCTCACGGAGCAGAAGATTCCAAGTGGAGGAGCCGCACGGGTCGCCAGCGGGACTTTTGTGGCCGGCGCAGCAGTTTTGCCAGCACCTCGGCACGGCAGCTCTTGGTGCAGAGTAAACGGGACTGGTTCCCCTTCTGACCGACGTTTGGAGCTCCGGGAAGGCAGAGTCGCCTATTACGGACTCAAGAAGGAAGCCAAACTGGAGATTCCTGGGCAGAAAAGCACCATCAGTCTTAACGCTGCTGTTTTGGCCGGCGCAGTGGGTTGCTCATATTTCGGCCCTGGGAATTAACAACTTGGACGTCCACCCAGAGACCTAATCTGAAAGTTGGTAATTTCAAAGACGACAGGTGGATAAATTTACAATGATGGGAAGAAACCAGCATAAAAAGTCTGAGAATACTCAAAATCAGAACACCTCTCCCTCTAAAGAGGATCACAGTTCCTCACCAACAAGGGAACAAGGCTTGATGGAGAACGAGCGCATCCCAATGACAGAATCACGCTTCAGGGAATGGATAATAAGAACCTTCTGTGAGTTAAAAGAATATGTTGTAGCCCAATGTAAAGAAACTAAGAACTTTGAAAAAAGGTTTGACGAAATCCTAATGAGAATAGACAACTTAGAGAGGAATATAAGTGAATTAATGGAACTGAAGAATACAATACAGGAACTCCGAGAAGTATGCACTCAAATTGTTCAAGCAGAAGAAAGGATATCAGAGGTCAAAGTCCAACTTAATGAAATAAAACGCGAAGAAAAGATTATAGAAAAAAGGATAAAAAGGAATGAGCAAAGTCTACAAGAAATGTGGGACTATGTGAAAAGACCAAATTTACGTTTGATAGGTGTACCTGAATGTGACAGAGAGAATGAATCCAAGCTGGAAAATATTCTTCAGGATATTATTCAGGAAAATTTTCCTAAACTAGCAAAACAGGACAATATTCAACCCCAGGTAATACAGAGAACACCACAAAGATATTCCTCAAGAAGAGCAACCCCAAGGCACATAATCGTTAGATTCACCAGGGTTGAAACAAAGAAGAAAATACTAAGGGCAGCCAGAGAGAAAGGTCAGATTACCCACAAAGGGAAGCCTATCAGACTTACAGCAGATCTCTCAGCAGAAACTCTACAGGCCAGAAGAGAGTGGGGGCCTATATTCAACATCCTCAAAGAACAGAACCTTCAGCTCAGAATTTCATATCCAGCCAAACTAAGCTTCACAACTGAAGGAAAAATAAAATCTTTTATGAACAAGCAAGTACTCAGAGATTTTATTACCACCAGGCCTGCTTTACAAGAGCTTCTGAAAGAAGCATTACACATACAAAGAAACAACCAGTATTAGCCTTTCTAAAAATATACCAAAAAGTAAAGAGCACCAACATAAAGAAGAATTTACATCAACGAATGGATAAAACAGCCTGTTAACATCAAATGGCAGTAATCCTAAATTTAAATCGACTAAATCTCCCAATCAAAAGATACAGCCAAAACCCAACAGTATGCTATATCCAGACCCATTTCACATGCAAGGATACACAAAGACTCAAAACAAAGGGATGGAGAAAGATTTACCAACCAAATGGAGAGCAAAAATAAATAAATAAATAAAAAGCAGGAGTTGCAATTCTCGTATCTGATAAAATAGATTTTAAAGCAACACAGATATAGTGGTAAAAGGATCAATGCAACAACAAGAGCAAACGATCCTAACACCCAGATACATAGAGACTTAGACTCCATGAGACAGAAAATTAATAAGGATATCCAGGACTCGAACTCAGATCCGGAACAAGTAAACTTAATAAATATTTATAGAGCTCTCCACTTTAAATACACAAAATATACATTCTTGTCAATACCACATCACACCTACTCATAGGTTTAAATGAAATATTGATTGGCCATTATTAATACCTATTTTTTTAGAATAAAGCAACATTTCCGTTCTCTCTCCCTCTTTTTCTTCCTCTTTCTTCCTCTCCTTCACTCCTTTTTTTTCTTTCCTTCTCTCAAAAAAAGGAGAAAAGAAATCAACTTGTAGACCTCTAGATCCAGGTCGGCAATGTCTCTCTCATTGCCTGATTTCCTTCCTTCCGTTCTCTCCTTTCCTCCCTTCCTCCCTCCCTCCCTTCCTCCCTTCCCACAAAAAAAAAAAAAAAAAAAGAAAAGGCAGGAACGACTCCATGATGCAATGCATGCTCCAGAGTCCCCTGTGGGAGCAGGCAAAGCTGGACTCCAGCTGAGACCACGTATTTGTTGAGCTCCTTCCTCTGCCCCTCACTCCACCCCTACCTGAGAGCACTCCCTCAATAAATCATTCCAACAAATTCTATTCTATTTCTTTTGGACTTCCCTGAAGCAAACAACCATCGAACCTGAAACTTGAAGCATCTATTTCAGCCTGTTTTTAAAAGTTTCTGCAACGGTAACAAACCTCTGCAAACTTTTGAACCAGTGTGTAGACTCAGGAGGGCTTACCCACATTTCAACGCCAGAAAGACAACGAGGAAAAATGCCACAAAGAGCAGCCCCTCAAGTGGACTGATGCTTTGTTTCAAAGTCGAATTATGTCCTTTGGAAAATGGAAGGATTAAACGAAGAATTTTATGATTTTGGTTATATTTTCATTTCAAGGTATTACTTGCCATAATTTGGTATATAGTAAGAAAATGGTTCATTCTTTAGAGATGGATTAGTTCTTTCACAATTGTAAAGCCTCAATTAATAAGCAAACTACTGCAGAACCTTCAGCAAAGTCCTTTTATCTCGAAAGTGCCAAGTCCAAGAATCCCAGGAATTTTAAAGCCTGCAGTGAGCTTGGTGTGTTCATTGGATGATTACTAACCCTCTGTGTGACTATGAGCAAGCCACTCGATCTTTCTCAGTTTGTTTCCTTATCTGCGACATGAGAGAGCTTTACTGAATCTTACGGAAAATCTCTTCATGTTCTATTATCTATGAATTTCTTTCTATATATGTTGTGCTTGAACATCAGAAGTCTTCAAAATGTTCACAGCCTTAGACCAGAAATTTCATGACTGGGAATTTTTCCTGAGAAAATTATGAGAGAAGAGGTAAACA